ACTGATTATTTTACCGAGGCTTTTACTGGAATTTGGTGTTTTCCTTTAAGGAATCAAACTTGACTTATGGAGCCAATAAAAGCCCCTTGGAAAAACTGGCCTCATGTCTTTGTCTACATAGCCCCTGTACAGGGTTCCTGACTTGTGATGAGTAAAGGATAACACTTTCTGACAGGCCCAGAAGCCCCAAGTATATTTTGGAATCTCTAGAGGGGATTACCCAACTCATAGGTATTTGATGGCACAAATTCATGGCTGGGCTCAGCTTTAAAAAAGACTTATTTGAAGTTCGTTCTATGAAACAAAGTTTAGTCAAAGCCAAATTAAAAGCCTATAAAAATTATTATTCTTGCTGTACTTCATACAAATAATTAGGCCAAGTATAATAAAGCAAACCAGTCCTACAATGATTTGTCTTTAGTAAATACGGGAAAGTCAAGAGAGAAAAATTATGTTTCAAAACCTGTAGTACACCTGTTTTTAGATTCTAATCTTGCCTAATATTTTTGAAGCATAATTTTTCTTGTTTTCAAAATAATGTTTTGAAAATGGCTACTAGGTTTCAAAATAATGTTTTCAATTTTTTCCCTTTTTTCTCCTATTTTTTTCTAATTTGGAGTCACTGAAAACTAAACTGTAATTTTGTAAAGCCCTGCACACTGAAGCTAGAGAACTTAATCTTCAGAAGAAAATAATAGCAACTTACTTACATTGATAAGCCACTTTCATACCTGCCTGCTGATGTATGAAGGGAGTTCAAAGTAATGTGGCTTATATCAGTTTTCCAGGATTGTTCTTTTGTTGTTGTTTTTCTCCTTTCCTCCCACTGTCTTCTCTTCCTAGAACATGAGACTTCACAGCCTTCTAAAAAAGAGTCTTCCTAATAATGTAGGACTTAACCTGTCTAGGAATAAACCATCTTAGCCATGGGAGATGAGACAAAACCAGAGAGTCATTTTCTTCTAAAACGATTTCTCCAAAAGATTTTTAATAAGGGAGGATATGTGAAAAGAAAATACCTTGGGTCCTCAAAATCACTAAAAGTCAAGCTGAGAACTGCTTAGAACAAACCTGCTTCCCATTCTATGCAAAGTCATTTTTCTGCTCACAGAGATAAATGCATATCTGATTGCTTCTTTTGGAGCGGTTCATCAGACATTCAGAAGAATGCAACCATTTTTCTCTTATCTACCTATGACCTGGAAGCCTCTGCACACCAACCAACAATGCTTTCTTAATTTTTCCAAAAAAAAAAAAACAGCCTCAAAATTCTTTCTACCTTGGAGAAAGTTTCTAAAAGATTAAGGAAGAAACGCATAAAATGTTGGGAACTGCAGAAGTGAGCAGGTTCCTTGTCTTCTTTCTCTAACAGGGACAGGCCAGAACAGAGATGTGCTGAAGTTATAACAAAAATAAAGAGAAAAAGTGATTCCTAAATGTTCTGTTAGTGCTTGGCCATCAGAAAACTGAAAGCAAAGCAAGTTCAGTTGAGCATACTGCTTTCTGCATTAAAAAAAAAATACTCAGTTTATTTCTTTAGTTTATTGAGGATTTTTTGTCAAATATTGTGTAGTTATTGTGTTCAGTGGTTTTATTTTAATCCAAGTAAAATAAAATACATAAAAGAGAAATTCTGTCAGTTTTTGATATTTCCAGACAAAAAATAATTCCTTCTCTGCTAACTTCTGTTCCACCCAAAGGGACACCAAGAGGTATGATTTGATACTGTATTTGGGCTACAAAACTTGCCATAACTGGCTGGGCCAGGAGTGGGCACCTGGCTGCTGGATTTAGAGTGGTATAGTCATTGATGAATTTGGAGTTTTGACTAAGAAATTTAATTTTCTATCTAAGTGGGTCATTTGAATGTCAGAAATGCAGAAATTTAGAGCTGCAATTCAAAAGCCTGTCTGCACAAATGGCCAATAAGCACATAAAAAGATGTTCAATATTATTAGTCATCAGGGAAATGCAAACCAAAACCACAATGAAATACCATTTTACACTGAACAGAATGGCTATAATTTTTTTTTTTTTTGAGATGGAGTCTTACTCTTTCACCCAGGCTGGAGTGCCATGGTGCGATCTCAGCTCACTGCAACCTCTGTCTCGCAAGTTTAAGCTATTCTCCTGCCTCAGCTTCCCAAGTAGCTGGGATTACAGGTGCCTGCTTATACACCCAGCTAATTTTTTGTATCTTTAGTAGAGATGGGATTTCACCATGTTGGCCAGGCTGGTCTCAAACTCCTGACCTCGTGATCTGCCCACTTCAGCCTCCCAAAGTGCTGGGATTACAGGCATGAGCCACCACACCTGGCCAGCTATATTTTTTAAGGGGACAACTTAACAGTTACTGACAAGGATGTGGAGTGAAAATGAAATCTTGTGCTTTGCTGGAAGGAAGGTAAGAGAGTGCAAGCACTATGGAAAATAGTTTGATAGTTCCTCAAAAAGTTAAACATAAAACCACCATGTAATTCAGCAGCTTCACTCCAAGACATATACCTCAAACAATTGAAAGTAAGGCCTCAAACCTGTATTTGTTTATCCACATTCATAGCAATGTTATTCACAATTGCCAAAAGGTGAAAACAACACAAATGTCCATCAACAAATGAATGGAAAAACAAAATATGGTGTATATATACAGTAGAATATTATTCAGCCACAAAAAAAAGTTAAATTTTGATATATGCTCCAATATGAATGGACCTTGATGACACTATGCTAAATGTAATAAGTCATATACAGAATGACATATACATATTGTACGAATCCACTTTTGCGACATGCCCAAAGTAGAGAAATTCATAGAGACCATAGAATAGAGGTTACCAGGACCTAGGAGGGAGGGGAGCATGAGGAGTTGTTTAATGGATACAGAGTTCATGCTAGAAATGATGAAAAAGTTTTGGGTAAGGGTAATAGTGATGGCAACAGCTACCCATCTAGAGCTGCTGCTACCAAGACACAGACTGCAGTAGGGAGGCTGGGCCAGGGCTATAAAGTTCTATGGAGCGCGCAGGATCCCCACCCTCCCTGGGTGCTGCTGCAGCTGCCCTGATGCAGGTCAGGACAGGAGTCGCTGTGTTCTTAGGGGCTCAGAAAGGCACCCCTGCCTCCCGCAGGCTTGGAAGTTCCTGCTCCCACTGCCTGGATTTTTCCTACCGTCAGCGCCAGCTCCCATCTCAGAGGCACCCAGAGGCTGGATCTACGCTCTCCCTGGAGCCAGGGGAGCAGGTAAAAGTGGGAGCCCCGCCCCTTTTGTGTTGGCAGGATGAGAGCTCCCGGAGATGTACCTGCCACCCTCTCAGGAGCAGGACCTGGGTTTTTCTGCAGTCTGCACCTCTGAAACAATAGGAATGGTTATATAATATCGTGAATGTATTTAATACCACTGCATTGTACTTACCATGGTTAGAATAATAAATATCATGTTATATATATTTTTCCTCTGTGTGTGTGTGTGTGTGTGTGTGTGTGTGTGTGTGTCTATGTATGTGCGTTTTAAGCCTGTCTGTCCAGAGAAAACAAGCATGGGAAAAAAGTGGCCCCAGAGTCCCTGGCAGTTTTCCATTTTCATAGTGGACCTGGAATATAGAAATACTGACCAGACTTGGACTGAGAACATTTAAATTCTGAAAGTATGAGGCAATTTTGATCAGGAAACACATACACTTGAACACATATGGGGTGGCTGAATAATGCCTCTCCAAAAATATCAAGGTCCTAATTCCCAGAAGCTTTGAGTGTTATATTGCAAAAGAGATTTCACAGATGTGATTAACAATCTTGAGATGGGGAGATTATCCTGGATTATCCAAGTTGGTCCTAAGTATATGCAAATGACCTTCTAAGCGGAAGGCAGAGGGAGATTTGACTGCAGAAGAGAAGAAGGTGACGCAATAGAGAAAATGTGTTCTCTTTCTGGGTCCACAAGGGGGCGTAGTTTCTAGGGCAAGAACTTCCTAGAGCCATGCCCCTCTGGTCTCTCTCCATCTTGGAGATTTAATGGTTTATGTTTGAATTTCATGGGCGGGAAGAAACTAAGAGTCAATCACTCCAGTGGAAGTTCTAAGGAACTCCTTTCATTGGCCCAGTGTCTTAGAGAAGGTGGGGGTTCCTCCCAGGTTAAAAGTCCCCTTCTTCCACATCCCTTTGGGCTCCATGTTTTGGATTCCCTTCCACCCTGGTGGAAGCCATCTTTTGCTCTTATGGATTTCCCCTCTTGGGTCCCCTTCCACACTCTTCGTGGAAGTTTTCTCTCTTCTCCCCCTTTTTTTTTTTTTCCTCTTTTCTCTGCCTAAATAAAATCACCTTTCTGCAACACTTCTTGGGACTGGTATTTACAAGCTTACCATGCACCTGCAGTGGTCCCCTCTCTCATTCTTGAGATAGCAGAGACTAAGAACCTACAACATTCTCTCAGGGGAGGCCCCCCCCCAAAAAAAAACCTGGTTACATGATGATGATGAAAGCAAAGAGATAAAAGATAATGTGATACAGAGACACAAGCTAAGGAGTGAGGACAGCCTCTATGATCTGGAAAAGGCAAGGGAGTTGATTAACCCTTATAGCCTCCAGAAGGAGCTGTCCCTGCCAGCATGTTGGTTTTAGCCCCATAAATCCTATTCTGAACTTCTGTCATAAATATAACACATTGTGTTGCATTAAGTCATAATATTTGTCATCATTTGTTATAATGACAATAGGAAACTAATACATCACAGACATAAAAATCGTCTTGAAAATTTAAAGTTAACATTTAAATTTGAATTCAACCTAGCAAAACCTTGTGATGAAAAGCAAGTTATAAAACCAAATTTTCACTGATGGTCACAAAATTTAATTTAGCAGAATATCTCAAAGCTCCTCAGAGGGTACTTAGAATAAAAAGCAATGATTCTGAGGGCTTTTCAAAAATCCTTTGGAAAACTTTGTAGAAGGGAAGAATATCAGGGGAGACATTTTTCAAAGCAGACTTTTTTTTAAAAAAATAAAGTCATAAAAGTGAATTTTTCATGAAATAATTTGTCTTCATTTAAGAAATTGTTGCCTTTAAAGAGTTATCTTGGCACTGATGATTGGCATTGGATGATTTTAATTCTGAGATGTCTGTTGTCATAAAGGAAATTATGAGAACAAATGATTGAGCTGTAAGACTACAGAAGAGGAGGAGGGTAAAAATCTTGAGGTGAGCTTAAGTAATACACATCCTGGATAATCAGATGCCTTTTATGCTAATGTATATTATGATGTTTGTGTTTTAATTAAATGTTTTTCTACTGATAAGAAAGATTTGAAATGGACAATGGATCCAATCAACAATATTTCTTGGGGGTGCATTTCCACTGATGCCAGCCACAAGGACAAATCATATACCCCATATTTTTCATTATCTGTAAGCCTGCCACATTATAATCTGCCACATGGATATAAAATGGGATTTCTTTCTGAGAAAGATACTTTTCAAGATAACATAAAATTTGTGACATGTGCCTTTGGTTTCTGTATTTGGGGATAGTATAACCCATTCTCAGCTCACAGGACTGTTCCATCACAACCCAAGAGATAAGCTCCCCCTCTGGACCCAGCACACCAAATCCTAGAAAATCCTGGAGGCAGCGTTCAGTGTATTTCAAGCTCCTCTCATTTTTTCCAAAGGCCCAGTGTTCATTTATAAGACCTGCATGTGAAGCATCTAAGAACATGCTTGAAAAATTTCTTTTCCTGTGAAGAAAAAAAATTTTGCATTTATTCAGCCAATATTTACCAAACACTGGAATTGCAATAAATAAATAAATAAATATAACACTATTCCTTTTCTTGAGGATCCTACAGCCTAGAGGAGACAATAGATGCATAAAAACTACCTTTTCTATTTCTGCTTCAAAATGTTTCCAAATAATTGATGGGGGAACACCATGTGTTTTATGGTATGTTTCATAACAGAGAGATAGTATGATATATTGTAGAACATCTCAAAATGTCTCATCAAGTACCCTAAGGAAAAAAATGAACACATGTCCCTAAAAGACTGAGGATATAGACCAGAAAACCCTCCATATGGCTGAATTTACATGAAACTATGTGTATTTTGAGTTCTCCTGCACAAAATCTCTAAATACACAAGATAGTATTTCATTCAACAGATATTCAAATACAACATATTTTACAGGGAGATGAGAACAATGCTGATTTTACACCTTCATGTGTCCCTAAGTCCATCATCACATACCTTTAGGGAATTACCAAAAATGCAGTTTAAGAAGCTGCAATATAGGGAAAAGAACACTAAATTTTTGGTGCTGACCATTGGGATTTTAATCCTGATTATTTTATTTTGGAAAAGTTACGTGAGACCCAGTTTTCTTGTTTGTAAAATTATAGTAATATTCTCTGTAAATATGGGGATGATGGAAGAGAGATCTCCAGGAAGTTTGCCTCTCTCCAGGGAGGAAGAGTTTTGAGAAGTTTGTCAGTTTCAGAGTCACTTCACGTTTGCCAGTGGGCAAGTGACTGAACACTAAGTTTTCTATAGGTCGTGCTTTGTTTTTGCTCTCTTCCATGTCTGACCTGATCCTGGGCTTGCTTCCTGAAAGATCTCAAGTAACCTTTCCTGCACCCCCTCCTGTGGATAGTCAAACCTAGAATGGAAGGTATCAGTATATCCATGTAGGTGTTGAAGGATCACCTTAGGGCAGGTACTTCATACCAAATTTCCAGAGTTATACTACTAAATATTATTTAATCCCCATTTTCTCTGTGTATATGTTCCTCTTAAGAGTCTTATGGGAACACTGGTGGGGCAAAGCAGGATTTGAACAGTGTTTACTTTTCTGGCTAACTCAAATGTATCTATGAGTGTGTGTTTAGATTTTATTTAGTTTTTTAATTAGTAATAAAATTGTAAAGCATAAATTGATTATTAGAGGAAAGAAAATCTCTCTTCTTTCTCTGATCTCCTATTATCCATTTACTTTCTTTAGAAGTGACCAGTAATGCCAATGTATTTTGCACAACTTTCCAGTTAGTCTACACAATTTTAGATGCATACATTTGTTTATTGACACAAATTACATATTACATACATTGTTCTATCCACCTTATTTTTTTACTTAGCAATTTGTTTTGAAAATCTTTTCTAATCTGTCATGTAGAGATGCTTCATTCTTTTTAATTGCTGCATAGTATCCTAATTTTTCAGTATACCATAATAAATGTATCAATTTTCCCATTACTGTATGTTTAGGTTGTTTCATAAGTTATGATATCACACATTAAATTCATGAAAGTGTTGCTATCCAGTTTGGTAATACCATTCATTTAATATGCATATTCTTTGACTCAACAATTTCAATTCTAGTAATTCATCTTTCAGAAATATTGATACAACTGTGCAATGATCTATTTATGATGATATTCATTGCAGAAGTTGCAGTAAAGTATGTGTACGTGTTGTAAAAATAAATAAATAAAATAACTCATACAGAGCACTAAAAGCATGCATATTAGTGTCAAGAATATTTACATCTGGCAGAGGAACCCAAGTAGACAGATTTTATTTTTTAATTTATACACTTATGTACTTTCTATAAGCATGTAGCATTTTGTAAGACATAAATAGTTTCAGTAAACATTTTCCAATGCCACCATGATGTCCATTCCCCTCTCAGAAGGACCCTTGTGAGCCCCAAGTGAGATAATATGCATAAAGATCTTGTCTAATGAAGGTTATGCACATGCTCAGCATACAGTCGCCAACGTAACTCCCTTTCTTTACCCATGCAATTGTATAACCGATCATAATTTAGTTTCAAGTCCTACATTTCCAAGTACAACCTTTGCGGCAACTTAATAATTCTATCAAGGAATTTGGGAAGCAAAAGGTAAAATCTCACTTGTTATTGTCATCCACTTTATGCATTTCAAATAACTCCATCTTGTCATTACTTGAAGTTTTGTGTTCCTTTAGTAATTCTGGTTTGAAGAGCACGGTTTTCACGTAATCTACCTGCACTGTTTTTGAAGCTGCAACCTTTCTTATTGCTTCATTCAGGCCCTCCTGGCAACCTGGAAAGAGGAGAAAGACAAGTACTGCTTTATCCCTTCCATATCAACTAAAACTAACCCATGGGTCTTTTCCTTTTAACTCAGACTAGTTACCTTGAATCTGGAAAGTTTGCTCCCAATTGATAACCTCGGAGCAGGACAAGATCTCCTCCAACTTGTCAGGAGCTTTGGTGAAGATGTGATAAGTGTTGGTATAATGATCCTGGTCATCTTTCATCTCCTGACATAACACATATCAATCATATTTACATAGCACTACAATTTACAAAATGTTCTTGCATAGGTCTAGAATGCTAGAGATTCAATTGTTTAAAACATTTTGTTTTTCTGAGATAGGTGTAGAAAATGGCCTTGGAGTCCCTTCAAGAATAACTCACTGTTGATACACTGAAGATAGTTTCTTTCTTTTAGGGCACTAAAGTGAACCACTCTTGAGAGAGTGAATAAATAGTTCCATTGTCTAGAAGGGGAAGTGTACCCAAAATGGTACATGTTAAGGATTTTTTTTTTTTTTTTTTTTTTTTTTTTTTTTTTTTTGAGACGGAGTCTAGCTCTGTCACCCAGGCTGGAGTGCAGTGGCATGATCTCGGCTCACTGCAACCTCCACCTCCCTGGAGCAATTCTCCTGTCTCAGCCTCCTGAGTAGCTGGGACTAGAGGCACCTGCCACCACACCTGGCCAATTTTTGTATTTTTAGTAGAGACATGGTTTTGCCATATTGGTCAGGCTCGTCTCCAATTCCTGACCTCAGGTGATCCTCCCACCTCAGCCTCCCAAAGTGCTGGGATTACAAGTGTGAGCCACCATGCCTGGTATGTTAAGGATTTGAAAGAGAAGATGCCTAAGGTATGGAAAGAAATATAAAGAGCAGGTTTGGCCAGGATGTTGGTTTTTGACGAGGTGACACCTGAGTTGATCCTGACCCAGCACTCTGGGGCTGGCTCAGTGATTGGCTCTTGGTGTGCATCTGAATAGATAAACTTTTGGAAAGAACCATTGTTCCAGAGTTAGTCTAGTACCTAGAATAGACAGCACAGTTTGCCTCCACATGCCTGCCTACCCTCTGCATTGGCACTTCCCCTTGGGAGTCCTTGCAGGTAAAAACACTTCTTAATCATTGTCATTCATAGAAATCTAGGTTGAAATATCTTGATGGAAAAGGTTGACTGAACAAAATCCTAATTTTATTTACACATCCTGGATTATTGATTACTGGATCTAAGTTCAAGCCTTATCTCTGCCCTATCTCCTCTCCCAAACAGCCCTTCCAAAACCTGCATACCTCAATGGTACCAAGGTTCTTCTCATCACCCCTCAATATCAGTTCCCTCATTGCCATGCAGAGAACGTCTAGAGAGTGACTGCCCTGCTATTCAGCAACTATTGCTCCTACCTGTTTCTTAGGCCGAATAATGACCGTCTGGTAATCTGGCCAGGCATCTACCAGTACCTCCATGTTGAACGGGTTTTTATTTTTTATGTTGAAAATGGCACCATATACCTATAATGCAACAGAGCAAAACAGAAGGGGATCAGTTTTTCTCCAATATAAGGTCTTTTATGTGGCATGGGAAATAAGGACAAAAGGTCTAGGAGGACTTAGGATGGGGCCAGTGCTTCCAGGATGGCTCATTGGACTACTTACTGAGTTATGCTGCAAGAGGGCCTAATAAGCCACCACAAAAATCCGAGTTAATGCATGAATCATTAGGAATTGGCTTCCCTGACATTCATTTACTATTTTTTAATTAATGCCATTTTCTCATTTTCTTCTTTCTTTATTTCATAACATACTATTTATTTGTATCTGTTATGTACAGGTCTGTGTTAAGCATGAAAAACTCAAAGGTGAATATGATATGGCCACAACCCTAAAGTTAAGTTTAGAAGAATAGAGAGTATATATTTTAACCATCATAGAACACACAGTCTGAGAGATACTTGTATATGGTGGTATAGGATCCCAAGGAAGAAAAGTACTACCTGTCCAGGAAGTGATGGGGAGACTTACATAAGAAGTAATGTCTGAACTGGGTCTTGATGAATAAGTAATGTCTTTCTCTGGCAAAATAGAGAATGAGAGCAAGTTATTACAAGTAGGAGAAAAAGCACAAGTGAAATGATTAAGAGTATGGCAGATTATATCATGCCTACTGAATTGTGTGGGGCTCAATAGTTGCAGCATGTGGTATACGGCAGGAGAATGTTGAGAGGCAAAATAGAAAAGGCCAGAGAATTGTGCATTAAACCGTGTAACCCAATTAAGCCCTGGAGATGGACTCTGCAAATTTGCTATGGCAAGTTTTTTAAAAAGGGAGGGATATGATCCTATATGTGTTATATAGCTGACTCTCATCACCGAATTGTAGCTAGATTGTTAAGACTGGAGACAAGGAGATATTTAAATTACCTGGAAGAGGTGAGGAAGTACACCAGAGACAGCAGAAGGATAAATTTAAAAATAATTAAAAGGAAGCAACGTAGGCGATTGACTGGATATAGATATTAAGATCATCTTTGAACAGATTCTGACTTTAGACTTGCATTCCCGTCTCTCCAGTAAGGTTCTGAACCCTAAATCTGTCCTCCTCACAACTCAGCCCTCTCTCCTTTGATCTCCTTCTAGTTCCTTACCTTTATAGATTCAGGGTTTCTCTTTTCCAAGGATTTATACAGAGTCTGTAGAATCTGAGTGTCATGAAGCACAAACATCTTATACAGCACTTCAGCTTCTTTTTCTCAAGAAGATGCTCTAAGGAAATAATCACATGAACAAAAATACTATAATAGTGTCCAGAAAGAAGAGGAAGGAGAAGTCGCCAGGGACATCATACACTGTTAGCAGTGACAGGCTTTAGAAATTATCCAGTCCAAACCTTTCAGTTTACAAATGAGAAACTAAAGCCCAGGGATGCAACTAGACCTCAGGGATTCTTAGTAATCGCCATAAAATTCCACTTAAAATGTACCATAACATATCTGGTAAAATAAATCTCCCATGCCCATTTGATTCAAATCAGGTTAAGAATATAGAGAGTGAATGCCTTCAGCTGTCCAGATGCAAATGTCTGGCTGCCCCTCTGGAGAGCACCTTCACCTCCAAGCATTAAAACATTTGCTCTAATGTTACCATAGCATGGGTACTATTTTCAGCTATCATGAAAGAATGTAATCATCTGGGAAAAAACTTTCAGACTATATTGTATGTAGCCCTTTTTCTCCTAAGGGAAAAGAAAAAATTATTGATTGGGGTGATACCATCAAGTAGAACTTGGCAATATCTAGGTGTTGGAATTATGCATTATCAACCTTAAAAATAGAGCAAACTCTTTTATTCAGTAAGTCCACATCTATAAACTCATCTCAAGGAATTAATAATAAATATGTTTTAAAATGTAAAAATTAAAAAAATTAGTATAATTTGATACTGTATATTAGATATAATACAAAATTCATTATGAAGAAATGATCAAGTTAATGATTACCAGACAGCTATCAAAATGATGTCTTTGACTAGTGTTTCATGATGTAGGAAAATATCTGTGTCATAAAGTTAGGAAAATATATGATGTAATCCCAAATTAATAATATAAAGATGTATACATGAATGGTTATCTGTGTATATATGCATGTGCGTATACCCACCTGAAAGTCTTTCTGAAACAAAGTGGTATATAAATAAGATATACATATGAACTTTTAAACTTTCTTCCAGCCATATACACATGGCTGACAATATATATAATTATATAATATATATTTACATTATATGTCTGACCTCTCATATGACATTTGAAGGCAATATGTAAGAATGGCCATATTTTCTAAAAACCAACTAATATAAAAATTTCTACACCATTTCGATGGCTTGCAAGGAAGCCATTAATATTTTTTGCAATCCTAGAAAACTCAGCACATATGATATCTATGTATGCATGTACATATGTAAGTATATAGCCAGAATCAATACAAAAGGAAGCACAGTGGTTAACAAGATGGGCTTTGGAATCAAACAAACCAAAACTCCACCACTGGCTCCTCTTCTGGCTATCTGGGTCACCTTATGTAAGTCAAATTATTTGAGTCTCTGACTCAGTTACATTATCTACAAAATTGGGAGAGTAATATTTACTTTGTAGATTGTCATGAGAATTTCATTACCACTAAAGGTATGTGAAGTGTTTAGCAGAGTAGTGAACTGTGTATATACAAGGTTCTGAAGGAAATTTTAAAGACCTTTAAATTCAATGAAGGTGACCATTCCACCAGACAGAAACATAATTGAAGAAAACTGCAACTTCAAAGATAGACTATATGTAACTTGCTTGAATAAATCTATTGACACAAAATAGACATTTGGAGGGAAACTGCAGATCTAGAACAAGCCACTGTGTTTCTGTCACTGTCTAGAATGATGGGTGCATTAACCAAATGGTACAAAATTCTGCCCATTCTGCAGGCTTTGGTAGCATATTTCCCCAGAGTAGAGTAATCTCCTTGGTAAGTGGTACCATGTCTTATTCTTCTTTATTACTCAAGCATCAAGCACAGCACTTAGCATAGTGTAAACATTAATAAACTTTTGTTCAGTGAATGAACAAATAGAATCAGTGAAGGGTAGAAATTGGGTTTTTAGAACACCTTTTCTCAAAGACTGAACATCAAGCCTCTTTGCTCCAGGCATAGTCAAGTTTCTCAGAAAAATGTGGCTGCTAACAGAAACTTTCAAAGCAGAAGAAAACACCCAATAGTAGGGGGTTTTGCAATGAAAATTTGGTTTATAACCTGTAGGCGAGGCACAAAAATGTGGATTAAATAAAGGTTGTAAATGGGCTGTTGCCACTACCAATAGCACATGCTCTTCCACCCCCTTCCTTTTCACAGTCAGCTTCCCCCCATGGCAGAACCCTGGTTTAGCTACCACCAATGAGAGACACCTAGTTTCAACTCTCTCCAAGGTGCCAAGGCAGTAGAATCTTTATGGCTCAACCTAATCCAATAGTCCAATATAATATAATATAGTCTTCAATACATTATAATGGAGGATTATAAGAGAGTTACTATTGGATCAAATGTTGTTTAACAAAACGAGAAAAGGAGAGGATCCAGTAGAAGAGATAGAAAAAGTGGATAGAAAAACAATGTGAAAAACAAGAGAAGGATCTTAAAAGTCAAAATAGGAGAAACTTTCAAGGAAATAGTGACCAAAGCAGTCAAAGGCTGCTGAGAAGCTAAAAGAGATGAATACTAAAAATGGCAGTGCATTTTGGAGTTAGGAGTTGATTACTGACTTAGTAAGAGAAGTGGATGGGAGAAGAAACCAAGTTATGGGGGTTGGAGATGTAATGAAATGTGAAGAAGTAAAGGTAATTTTTTCAAAGAGCTTGATCAGGAAAGGAAGAAGAACACTAGAGTATCAAGGGGAAGAAGAAAGATACAAAAACTCAAAGAAAGGCATTTCTCTTGTTAGATGAGAGTCAAGCACACCTATACTAACTACAAGAGGTGAGATGTAAGTAAGTGATAGGCCAATGTGTATAACAGGACATAGAAAGGTAACAGAAATTCACTGACCCTATATACAAAATGCCAACTACGATTACAGCTTCTTTATGTTGATTAATTCATTTAATCATCAACCACAATTCTAAGCATAGTTGTTGAAATTAGTTTTGGACAGGAAGAATACCTCTTCCAGTGAGAAGTCAGAAAAAATTTTAGGATGGATGTAGATACAGGTGTATGTATGTAGGTATACAGCAGGTCCTCAAATAACGTCATTTTGTTCAATGTCTTTTCATTATAATGTTGAAGAGAAAAAAAAATCAATTCCTGTCTGGACTACTGTCTATGCTCAGTTTGTATGTTCTCCTCATGTCTGCATGGATTTTCTCTGGATAATTCTGTTTCCTCTCACATCTCAAAAATGTGTACATTAGTTAATTGGCATGTCTAAATTGTCCCAGGATAAGTGAGTGTGTGTGTTTGTGAGTGTGTGTGCCCTGATGAAAGGGTGTCCAGTCCTCCAGTTCAGGGTGGATTCCTGCCTTGTGCTCTGAGCTACTAGGATAAGCTTCAGTCACTTGCACCCCGGAACTAGAATAAGCCAGGTGAAAAATGAAAGAATAAATGAAATATTCATAATAAAACAAAAATTCATAAAGTCTGTGATAATCATACAAATGCATAACAATAAACAATGCTGTGCAAAAGGACTCAGCAAGCCCATCATATATGTGATTGATTTTTAACTTCATAGAGGCAAGAGGTGCTCCTTACAATGTTTGCTTTGCAAACATTTATTTCTCAGTTTAGCCCACCACCACTGTGGTCACCATCACACACTGACTCACCAAAAATCAGTAAATAGTTACCTTACTTGTTTTTATTAATATTTCTTAAATGTATATACAGCTTACATGTATTTCAAAGTTTTATATTAGAAGTGTTTGAGATCTTCATTTATAAGTTTGGTGTTGTTTTTGCGACCAGAAATATGCTATGGTAACTTTATTCTTGTTTATAATAATTAGCTTATGGTAAAATTGGTTTTGTTTTATGTTGTTTCATTTGAACTTCCAGTTTCCAGGAACCTGTCGACAATGTTAAGTAAGAACTTACTGTATATAAAAATACACAGGGTTAGAAAAAAAGAGCTGAAAGTTGGAGAGTTATTTTTGAATATCTACATCCTGGAAGAGGTAAAATTTCTTTCTATTCCCCAAATCAGTTTTTAGAAGTGAATGGGTGAAGAAGTATGCCAAGAAAGTTTGGAGGAAAAGAAATAGGATTTTATGGGAATGAATGGCTTTTGACGTTAATGGGAGAAAAAGTAGACTAGAATTAGCAAGGACTGGCAAGCATGCTTAGGATCGTGTAAAGATGGACACTACGATTTGGAAGTGTTACTCGATAGTATATTGAGTTCAGCTCCCTGAGAGTAGAAGCAGAGAAAATAAATTGAAACAAACCAAGATTAGGTTTTTCAGGGCTGGAGTAGCAAAAAAGGATAAGGGACAAAGCATTTGAGAATATATAAATGAGAGATTGAAACTAACAAACTGTCACATCTAGGAGAAAGAAGAAAAAAAGTAAAGTAGGTTGGAGACGAATAAAGTGAGAAAATATAGGCAAAGCAATGGTTGAAAGTACTTGTTGAAGTCAAAGAATAGCAATGGTAATAGACAGGGGAAACTGTACTTACAAATGGGAGACTGAGGTCAGATATTAGACTGTTAGAGGTTAAGATTTCAGAGGTATTCCAAGGAAGATCAGTCTGGGATGTATGGCTTTGGATTCAACTCCAAGTCAACAAAGTAGGAGCCAAGAAGGGAATGGGAGTTTCAGGTATCACAGGCATGAACAGGATGTAACAGGCATTTGTTAGAGAGAAAAATTACGTGTCAGGTGCCAAATGTTTTAATGAATCGAGAGAAATTTGTCAGAGGACAACAGAAAAGCATTGTTTTATTCCAGCCACATGACACAGAGGGAAGAAGGAAGATTTTTCTATGCAAACAAACAAGTAATACTTTAGAAGCAAAATTGGAGGCAAGGAGAACACTGATTTTTGTATCCCACAATATTACTATGGAGATCTAGAGGGTGTCAGGGAAAGATGTAAGCATATGGATAATTTACAATTCAAGGAAAACGTTTAGACATTTTACAAATTCAAAAGTATAAACACTGGCTATTTATAAAGTATTTTTCAGCTTCAGGTACTTAAAAGGTTTTGAGGAAATTGTTCTCAA